TTACTCCTGCCTTGCAGTGCCACCCTTGCAAGAGGTCCAAACCAATGGGTTATCAAATCTCAGGCTTGAACTTCCAGAACTATGACCAAAAGAAACTTCTTTAGTTCCTAAAAAGTCTGTGTCAGCAATTTCATTGTAGTGGCATGAAACTAATACATGGACCAAGGATGAGGTGATGCTATGTGGATCTCAGGTTCCCATGATTCCCTGGGGTTCAATCAGTTCAAGCCTTTAATTCTAATGCCGTGTAGTTCACACCTTCATCCTGGTGTTACTGCTCTAAACTATCTCCCCCCCGCACCCCCCCACACATACTCACTCACACAAAGATTTAAGCATCCTCCTTAATTTCTGTAGTTTGGACAAGGATTCTTTCTGATTTCTGTCATTTCCCCTCCTTTACGTCTATACCCTTCCCAACCCTCAACAATCCCACATAACTATTCTCTTCGGTTTCACTCGTTTGTAGGTACTCTCACAAAGTGGGCAGCTTCATGTGCATGAGTTTTTATTGAGGCGTAACACATATACAGTAAAGCATGCAGAATCTTACATAGACAATTCAGTGTATTGTATAAACGGCTGCGTACATGTATCTGTGTAGCTATGTTAACTCACCACTCAGAAGAAGATGAAGCACGTTAGTACTCAGTCCTTCATACTCCTTAGCAAAACTAACCCCAGAGATACCACTCTCCTGACTCCTACTGCCATGGATTCTGGTCTTGGATTTCATATAAATATGCTTCTGTCTACTTGAAGTAGTTCTTTTTAAAAAATACTTTATTATTTTTATTTTGTATGTATGACTGTATTCCCTGAATGTGTGTATGTGTACCCATGTTATGCAATGCCTGCCAAGATCAGAAGGGGGTGTCAGATCCCCTGAAACTGGGGTTATGGACAATTGCTAGCCACCCTGTGGATGCTGGGAATCAAACCCAGGTCTTCTGCAAGAGCAGCCAGTGCTCTTAATCACTGAGCATCTCTCCAGCCCCGCCTTTGCTTCTTTGTTGTGTTTCTTGACACAGTACAAGTCCTCTGAGTCTTAATGAAACGTTACTGTTTTTCTATCAATGACTTGTACATTATGAAAAGTCTTTGCCTGTGCTTTTAATTTCTACCAACACTGTTGTGAACCTGATTCTGGTTTGTCCCCACCACATGCCACATACCGCCTTTTGTCCTTGCTGCTACGTGTGTATCCAGTCGACCACTCTCACCACTGTTGCTGGCTTATTATTATGAAAGCTATGACAAAGTTATAGATGAACAGCTCAAAGCAGAGATATCCTGGATGAGGTAGAAGCATCCTGAGCTCAGCGTCTACCAACCTCCTGACACACAGATATCAATTCATGAATTCTCCAAACCTCACACTTCAGGGACTTTGTGGAGGACTCATCTCATAGGCACGATGGGTCATCAACTCCATCTCCAGTGCCTGTTCATAGAAAGGAGTAAGGAAGTTTCAACCTTCCATTCCTGAGTTGGTTTTCCTGTGACTGTCCAGAACCCAGCCAAAGATGCATGGCACAACAAAATTTGCACCCAGGAACTTGTAAGGGGTCATGATACCTCCCGAGACGTACCTCAGAATGGAGTCCAAACGTCAATGGCAGCAAGTGAGCTTCCTATACCCCATCACATAAGAAATTACAAAAGTTTTAGGAGTTTTGTGCCAGGAACTAGTACTGAGACCAAAACTCAAAAAATGTATTTTCTATTATAGCACAGTCAACAAGCATATTTCATTTATTCAATGTTTGCTGAATACCTCCTATGTGCAAGTACTGATCTAGGCACCATGAACAGAACAGCCATAAAGCAAACAATTCACTCTCAAGGAGGAGATAGGCATGGTGTCAGCTTTCTGCTACTGAGACAAATACCAGACATAAAAACTCAAAAGGAGGAAAGGTGTATTGGGGGTATTGGTTAGAGAAATTTCAGCCCCTGGTCAGTTGGCTGTTGTGGGCCTGTGATGACGCAGAACACCATGGTGGGGAACAAAACCAGAGAGGAAGGTGACTGGTCCCTTCGAGAGCATGCTCACAATGACCTAGCTTCCTTCCACTAAGCTCCACCAGGTTCCGCCCCCCGACACCCTCCCGGTAGCGGCACCACAGGCTAGTGACCAAGCTTTTTAATATACAGATCTTTAGCAGACACTTAAGATGCAAACCACAACAGATGCTCAGCAAGGGAGCTGAGTCAAATGTGAATATGTAAGAGAAAAGCAAGGAGGGCAGCAAACAAGGATGGGAATAGGAGAAGCCAAGTGGGGGAGCCAAGTAGAGGCTGCAGTTTTGAAAGGGTCATAGGGAAGGGCTCCTCGGGAAGAGAACAAGTGAGTAAAAACCTGAAGGCACATAGGGACAGGGTCACCATGCAGGATTGTAGAGTCAGGGGAGTATCATGAACTCGTGGGGTCAGGAAGGCCTATGGGGTCATAGGGAAGGGCTCCTCGGGAAGAGAACAAGTGAGTAAAAACCTGAAGGCGCATAGGGACAGGGTCACCATGCAGGATTGTAGAGTCAGGGGAGTGTCATGAACTCGTGGGGTCAGGAAGGCCTATGGACATATGGGGGTTTAGGGGAAAGATCATGGGAGTTGTACAGTCAAGGGGAGAGCCTTGGAAATGTATGAGATCAGGGGAGGACTATGGGGACATGTGGGGTTAGGAAGGGCCACAAGGATGTGGGGTCACAGGGAGGGCTACAGGAGTGTGCAGGGACAGAGGGAGAGATCTTGGGAGTTGGGAAGAACTGCTAGGACATGAAGGGATAGAGAGGGCTATGGGGATGTGTGGGATCAAAGGGAAAGCCAAAGGAGGCCTCTAGTTAAAGACAGCACTACATGGTCACACGGGGCTAGGGACAAGGCCCTGCAGGTGTGTGAAAAGAACATTCTCATCCAGGGAGTATCTGCTGCTTCTCCTCTTTAACTCCTGACCTCATCATGTGTAGGTTCTGCATACAGCATCACTGGCTATATCCCTAAGGCTATGAAGGCAGCATTTGCTAGCTACAAAAGAGGCGAGATGTCCACCTGCAGGTCCCTGATGTGCGGGTTTCACACAGCTGTCCTCGTCCCTCCCTCAATTGTAGTAGACCTCAGATTTTCAGGAATCTTCTGCAGCTACATTCTTTGGAGGGTGGAGCCCAGTCCAGCCCAAACTCAGAGTGGCATGTGGGAGGACAAATGTAATCTTGCTTGGGGCAGGAGGCTAGTGCCAGGTTTCAGCTCTGTCCTTATCCCCAGGGTCACTTTAGGTAGAGAGAGTTCCTCTCTGGGCTTGTTTCTCCACCTGCAGGTTGGAGAGACTTGGCTTGCTGGGGTCCTGCACAGCGACCCTGGCATTCTTGTCTGTCACAGGGAACCCAGAGGAAGGTTGCCACTCTGAGCCCCTTGATGTGGCCCTAGGTCCAAGAGCATAGCCTCTACAGCCTTCACCTGTCCCCACAGTGACATGGCTGGTGGTATGATGGTGCCACCTCAAACACTGACTGCCATTCCTGTCTGTAGAGCTCCTGTGCTCACCTGTGACAGGTGAGGGCACAGTATTGGTTGGATCATCTGTGGATTAAATGAGTTGCAGCTGGTGAGTGGGCGCTGCCTTCCCAGGCCCTGTGCTCTGCCTGTTGCCCTGTCCTCTCCAAACCTACTCCTAGAAGCCTGCTGTCTTCTAGGCCTCCCTGCACTCCTCCCGAACTGAGGTGTGTGTGTGTGTGTGTGTGTGTGTGTGTGCATGTTTGCATGTGTATGAGTGCATATATATGTACATGTGTGTGAATACAAATGTGTGTATATATATGCTTATATGTGCTAAGAATGGATGTATGTACATGCATATGTGTGTGTGAGTTCATGCATATGTGCATTTATGTTTCTGTTTGCACACTTGTGCTTGTGTGTGCATGCATGTACATGGGTGTGTGCACACTTGTGTGTGCATATGCATGCACTTATGTGTGTACATGTGTTCATGTGTGTGCGTTCAGGCATGCATGTGTATGTGTTTGCACACACTTTTGCACATACATCTGTGTGCATGCCCATTGTGTGCATGTGCTTGACCTTGCACTGTGAGCATGTGTGCACCTATGCCTATGTGTGCATTTGTGTGTGTACATGTGTGCATTACATACACATGCATATGTGTTCATCCATATGCATGCAGGCATATATGTGCATGTGTTCGCTTATACTTTCTCACATGCATGTGTGTGTGCATGCCCATTGTGTGCACATGCTTGACCTTGCACTGTGGGCACAGATATACACTTGTGCTTGTTTGTGCACATGTGTGTATGCATGTGTCCCATGAAGAATCTGATTTTAATAGTATACATACCCAACTACGCATAGACATAAGATGGCAAATAGGGTATTTCCCCTAAAAGTTCACTCAGAGGACAGTTTGCTTTCTTCCACGTATAAGTCTAAGCCGGATTGGTCCAGCTCTCTTGGTTTCAGTATATGTTCCAGGGTGTCCTGAATGGGAACAGGGCATTGCTAAGGGGAATAATCTTATTTCTATTGTTTAAAGCAGATATGTAACACTGCCTGGGTCTGAGCCCAGAGGCTGTTCTGTGGGTACAGGTTGGCCTCTTTGGAGCAGAAGGATATGGCTGGTCCAGCTGTACAGGACTGGATTCAGGGCAGTCCTGCTGAGGTCACTGCACTCCTGTGCCAGCCCTTCCCCTGGCATTAGGCAGGGATTAGAGGAGAGGCCGATGGATTAGAGGGGTTATTTGGTCACAGCCTCTCCGGGTAGACAGCCAGCTCCACAGCCTCTGCCCACCTGGGGCTGCTTTTTACTAGCTGCAGCTGCAGGCAGAACCCTTCATTTGGAGCTGGCCAACAGGCAGAACACTCTGGGTAGCAGGCCAGAACACTCAGGAGCTGGAGCTTTGTCCTTTCCCTGGCCCCAGCAAGAGCACCATGCCAGAATTCCCCGTTTCTCCCTCCAGTCACAACTGGGTCCCCTATGGACGATGGCCATCATCCTGGACATTCCTGCCAAAGATGCCCATCATCCTGTGGCTGCTGCTGTCCGGTGCCTACCTGCCCACCATGAGAGGCCAGACCAGCATCCCTCTGGAAGCATGAGTCTCAAGTTCCCCTACCCTGAAGACCTTCCTGTGGCCCCTCCCGCTGGCCAGCTGCCATGCCTACACCCACCCCACCTCTCCTCCTCTCTGAAAGACCCCTTCTCCCTTGCCGCTTGTCTTCAGATCCTTGCTGAGTCTGGAGTCTGCCTGCCCCTACCCTCTGGCCTTGCATAGCTGCTAACCAAGGCCAGACAAAAGCAGAGTGTAGACATCCAGCCTGGGGAGGCTCTTTTGGGGATAATTATAGGATTAGGGCTGGGTCAGGGCTTCGGTGGCTCAGGCAACATCCCTTGTAGCTCTGCAGAGGACTCCCTGGGCAATCTGTGCTTTAACATTCAGGAAAGCTAAAGCAGTTGTAACTGAACAGGTAGGATGGCTCCTACAGATGGTGTTTGTCCAGGAACTAGGTTAGAATGGGTTTCTGTGACTTTGTTCTTTCTTTACCTTTCTGCCTCCTTCAAGGTCTTCGTTCTACCACCAAGACCAATGGTTGGAAAAAATTGACACCAATCACTTATACTCTAGTATAAATTACTGGGCAATAGGGCTTGCTTTTCAGTATTTGGGACATTCCCAATACTGAAGGAAGCAGAGCATTCTAGACTAAAGTTGCTCAGCCCACATCTGAGTCTAGACATCAGAGCCCAGAGACAGGACAGAGCCCACCCAGCAATGTGTTCATTTGCTCTGGGAACAGTGATTTGGATAGAGTGGGCATCCATGACACTGGGTGTCCTCTCCTTGCTCCACTGGGCACTCAGCACGCTACCAATGATGCCTTCAGCCTAGGCAACAGCTCAGAGAGGGAGGCAATACCATCCCTAGTTGACTGGGAGGAGTTGGGAGAGTCCCCAAGGATCCAGGTGAGTAGATGACAGTGCTGGGATCTGCATTTGCTGAGCCAGACTGGCCTTCTGGTCACCCCCTGCAGCCCTGCACACACTGAGCAGTCTGCGGCTCAGAAGCCAAGCTCCAGGAATGGCAAGGGACCAAGAAAAGATGGCTGGCATCCAGGGCGGCCTCCACACAGAGACCTTGAGAGCAGCTTGGCATGGCCACCTCCACACAGCCCTGCTGTCACCTCCCATTCCAGGAGGCAGAACTCGGCCACCCTGACCCACTCTTCTCCTCTCTCGCAGAGTCCCCCATGTCCCCCACTCACTCAGCACTTAGCAGTGGCCACCTGCTCCCCACACAAGGGCACCAAAGGCCTCCACGTGACATATCCTGGAGACCATGGCTCCCACACCTTGCTGCTTTAGGCATTTCCCTTTTCTTTTGAACCCCCATACTTTTACTCCCAGAACCTAGTAACTGGCTTCCGCGGGCTTCTAAGTTGTTTCTCTGCCTTGCCTTTTGCAAGGCACCAGAGCCCAGAGACAGGACATCATCTCTGGGCTCTGAAATTGCCAATGCCCCTGTGGCATCTTTATGGACCAACTCATGCCACGTACTTGCCTTGACAAGAATCCATTTGCCCTTGGCATCTCAATCCTCTTCATGTCTTAATGACTCCTACCCTGCCTCTAGATCAATGCCTGTGCACACTCACTGAACATTATGAGAGCTTTTAAGTCTGTTTGTAGCAATGTTACCAGAACCTCAAATTGTGCAGTGTGCCACCTACCCAAGGGCCTCAGCAGCCCTGTAACAGGAAGTTTGTATCAACATGGTCCAAGCAGCATGAATTATCTTCCTCTTGCCCTGATTTGCCTTCCTGACACTCTCGGCTTTATTGAACAATACCACCATGGTCAACAAATTGAGCTGGAGACTTTGTAGTCATTTTTCCATTCCTCCAAACTCACTACCTAAAAATTTATTCTCTACCTAAAACTCCCTTGCAAATTTCTTTACTGGGTTAACCTTTACCATACTCAAGATGCTGAACTCATCAGATCCCACCTCCTCTTGGAAGCCTTACCTCTCTACTACTAGCCCTCCCCTAGTCTTCACTGGCCTCTTCCAAAGGAATACCAAGCTATTGGGGGACGTGGTGTCCCCGACAGGGCGTGGCTACTGTGTCTGACATGTAGTCAGACCTCAGGAAGTACTGGAGCATCTGGATGATGCCTCTGTGGAAGTGGCTCTAGAGGGGCCACACTTTCTCTGGCTATGGGACCCAGATGGGACCTGAGTGACCACTGGACCCCAGCATGCTCCCTTGTGGGGGGCAGGATCTCAGGGTCTTCTAGGGTAGAAGGAGGGGCCAGAACCCCCACATATACTTGCCACCCTCCCATACTGCCCCACCCTCAGAGCCCTGGCAGAGAGAAAGTTAACACCAGCTTTTCTGCCCCCAGAGTGAAGCTGTGGGCCAACACCTTTGGCAGGAACCTATACAGCATGGTGTCCAGGTACTCCAGTGTCCCCTTATTGCAGAAGGTCAGTGACCGATCCCACATAACTCCTGCATGGCCAGAGGGCTTCTTCCCAGAAAGGAGCAGAACTCTCACCTCGGAGCTGTGAGGGGCCTGTGAGACCATCTGTGTCAATTCTCTCATATTCGGATGGGGAGACTGAGGCCCAGGGAGGCTCCACTCCCAGAGTGAGCCAGTGGGGACAGTGGAATCAAAGCACTGTGTCAGTTCAGGTACTTAGGAAGCCAGAAGTAGGAAGAATTAGACCTGAAAGAGGTTTCTCGGGTGGGTGAGGGAGGAGCGATGTGGATACCCAGGAAGAAGGAAGAGGAAGCAGAGGAGGAAGCAGAGGTGCTGACATCACATTCCCTCGGCACACAGAAATTTAAAGCCAGTTCCTACCAGTGACACTTCCTTCTGGAACTGCTGAGCTGGGTCCCTCGGGAGGAATCAGAGCCACACAAAGGCTGTGCTTGGCTAATGTGAAAGGATGCTGAAGCCACTTCTCAGACAGCATGTCAGGGAAGCTTCAGAGCCATGCAGAGCAAGGGCAGGGGCTTTGGGGACCCTGCCCCATGTCCATGCTGCCCAACTTACTGGGTGTGGACCAATCGCTGCCCAGGTGTCAAGTCAACTCTTGATGACAGTGACAGCCATGTGTCTGCAGGCTGAGCAAAGGGCACCCGAAGAGAGGCAGCTGGAGCTAGGATTGGGAGGTCATGGGGTGTCCATCCCCTAGGGGAGCCAAGAAGGTTTTAGGGAGAGAATGTGTCCCCCGCTACATTGAGAGACAGACACCCTGGTGCAGAGCAAAGGTACCCATGCCTCCCGTTTTACCCGCCCAGAAGTACAAGGACGTGGAGCCCAGTCTGAAGATCAAGGAGGTGGATGGCTTGGAGCTAGTGAGGAAGTTCTCAGAGGACATGGAGACCATGCTGCAGAGGAAAGTGGAGGCTGTTAAGGTGCCACTGCCCATCTCCCAGTTCCCAGAGACAACACTGGGATTACAGGGCCTTTCAGGGACCACACACTGATCGCGGCTGGTCCTCTTCTGGATGGGTGAAATGGGGACTGTGTTAGACTAACCAGGCACCACAGGTATCAGGGTAGACATTCACACAAGGGAAGGAGACACCTCTGTCTCTACCTGGACCAGCCAGGCCTTGTGGGCATTCAGGGCAGTGACCTGAGCCCAGGGCCTTTCCACAAAAGCACCTCAACACATCTAGGGACCAAGAAGGGTGGAAAGGGCAGGGGAAGGGAGCAGAGGACTGAAGAGAGGAGAGGGGGGATCTTGGGCTTAGGTGGCAGAGAACTGCTGTTGACTCTCTTCCCTTTGCGTGCCCTCCCTTAGAGGCTGGTGGAGGCTGTCAAGGAAGCTGACCTGAAGCACAAATTCAATGCATCTCTGGTGGTGAGTCCTTATGGGAGCAGGTGCTAGGCAGGCTGGCCAGCTCTGCCCCAACCCCCAGGAAAGCCTGAGTCCCCACTGTAGGGGGAACAGAGCAGCAGCTGCCCATTCTACGGCCATGAAATACTTGCCCTGGTGCTGAGCTGTGCCTGACCTCATCAGTAAGACCTTCCCTCCACCTCAAGAGACTCACAGAGCAAGAACTCTCAGAGAAGGTTTGGGATGAACAGATGGATGGGCCAGCTGAGTAAGCATTAGAAGGCAGATGAGGGAGGTGAGGCAAGGCACAGCTGGGCTCCAGGGAAGAGACTCGGGGCAAGTGAGGCACAGAAAGGGTCTCTGGGCTGAGAGATAGAAGACACAGGAAGAATAAAGCACAGGTTGGATAAGGACATAGTGAATGTGAGCCCTCTGTATCCAGAAGACAACAAAATAGAATATAACCTGAGAAAGGGGTGACTATCTGGGTGTCTAGGACCCTCCCCACCCGAAAGAAACTGACTTTGCTGACAAGGTCTTTGGTCTCCATGTGGCTCCTTGGGTCTCTGGCTGTCTGTCTCTGTCTCTGACTTGAGCTGTGCTCACAAGCATTAAGCCAAGTGGAGAATCAAAGCAATAATCAGGCCAATTTGACCCCACACCAGCTAGTGATCCCCCTGATTCAATTATCTTGATATGTGCTGTCACCTCATTGTCCCATCTGTGCCTGCATTCTCCGCCCAATGACACATGTCTTCACCAGTCACCAGTCCATCTAGTCCAGCCTCATGTCCAAGTCTTCTGACACACCTCCCCCACTTCTCACTCTGTCCCGACACTCTGTGGCTGGGCTGCCTCTGCTGGACCTGCTCCCTCTCTCTCCAGTTTGACTACTACAACTCAGTCCTGATCAATGAGAAGGACCAGAAAGGCAACTACGTGGAGCTGGGAGCAGAGTTTGTTCTAGAGTCTGATGCACGCTTCAGCAACCTGAGGGTGAACGTCTCCATGAGCAGTGTGCAGCTGCCCACCAACGTGTACAACAAAGGTAGCTGAGCCCTCACCACTACAGTCCAGCGGGTGGGGAGAATTTTGCCTCCATCTCCCCCAAGAAGCACTACAGGGCTTAAGCTGTCTCTCTCTAACCTCCTAGATGGGATGAGAAAAGAAATTATCCTACACATGCATGGAATATGCTATTTTCTGCTGCTATGACAGAATACCTGAGGCTGAGGAACATAAAGAAGAGAGCTCAAAGTTTGAGAGGCTGAGGGTTCAGCCAGGATGGCACTGCTTTGGTGAGGGCCCTGGCTGCATCCCACCATGGGAGAGCATGCCAACTGGGGGCCTGTGCAAGAAGACACACTCACATAGGGAGACAGGATACTATAGAGTCTTTCTCTTCCACAAGCTTCTCAACAGAACTCACCAGCATCCCATAGAACTCCAAAACGCTCTTCCCTATCACAGTGCTCACCATGGGCAATCATCTCCCCGCTATGTTCTTCCAAATGACCAACCAAGGACTGTGCTTCCAAACAGGAACCCTGGGGACACACACACAGATTCTGTCCAAACCACAGCATGTGGGCTGGGAGAGAAGGCAGTTTCTAGGCCCTTTGAGGCCAGATGCAGCTCTGAAGGGAGTCACTGGGGGCGAGGGTTCATGCGTATTTACATGTAAAGTCCCTGTAAAGTTCCTTCCACGATCTCTCCTCCAGACCCAGATATTTTAAATGGAGTATACATGTCTGAGGCCCTGAACCCTGTGTTTGTGAAGAATTTCCAGAGAGACCTGACACTGACCTGGCAATATTTTGGCAGCTCGACTGGATTCTTCAGGATCTATCCAGGTGAGGACATTGGGTGGCATCTTCACCTCTTGGCTTATTCTCTAAGAATAAGTGATTGACTATTGAAGGCAGGTGCTAGTTCTCAGTCCAAGGGCACTTCCAACCCACTCTTGGTCTTTTTAAAAAATATTTTAAAAATATTTTATTTATTTTTATTTTATGTGTACAAGTATTTTGCCTGCATGTCTGTAAGGCACCCTTGTCATACAATGCCCACAGAGATTAGAAGATAGCATCAAATCCCCTGGAACTGGAGTGACGCACAGTTGTTAGCTGCCATGTGGGTGCTGGGAATAAAACCTGGGTCCTCTGCAAGAGCAGCCAGTGCTCTTAACCACTGAGCCATTTCTCCAGCTCCTACTCTTGGTCCTCTAAATATTTATATATATATATGGTGACACAGTCAAAGGGAGCTATTGGATGAGTGACAAGTAACTCCACTGAACATCATAGTAATTGTCACCAAATGCCCAGAGTGGGCCCCTAGCCTGGGAAAGCCCTGTGGAAGATGCTGGTTTTCCTACTTACAAATCCAAGTGCAACATCCTAATAAGCAGAGTGGGCAAAGCTCTATTGTCCACCCACAAAAACAGAAAAAGGGGCTGGGTGATGGTTCAGTGGGTAAAGTGCTATCTGTGCAAGCATAAGGACTGAGTTTGGACCCCAGCACCCATGTAAAAAGCTGGATGTGGTGGCACCCACCTGTAATCCCAGCACTGAGGGGTTGAAGACAGAAGGACACTGGGACTCACTGGCCAGCCCATCTAGTGGACTAGGTGAGCTCCGGGTTCAGTAAAAGACCAGGACTTAAGAAAAGATAGGGAGCGGTAGAGGTAGACACCCAACATTGACCTCTGGCCTCCACATGTTCACACATACTCATATACTCATATAACACACACAGGAAAAAAGGAAGAAAGGAAGGAGGGAAGGAAGGAAGGAAGGATGGAAGGAAGGAAGGAAGGAAGGAAGGAAGGAAGGAAAACAAGGGAAAGCCAGTCATGTTTTTTCCCTTTGTTCTGTTAATGTGACATTTTCATATCAGTCAGTTTTCATAGGTTGAGAAATTCCTGCCTTCTAGGAATAAATTCCACATGTTATGTTATCATTTTGATATACTAATGGATTTAGTGTTTAGTACTGTGCTGAGGATTTTTTCATCAGTGTTCAATAAGGACAGTTCTCTATAGTTTCCTTGTAGCATCTTTCTGTGCTTTTAGCATGAAGGTAAATCTGGCTTCATAGAATAAGTTAAGTAGTCCCTCTTCTTCAGTTTTCCTGAAAATACTGAGGATTCTTTAAATTTTTGATACAAGTTCTTTAAATGTTTGATAGTTTTATCAGGGGCTATTATGACCTGAACTTTACTGTTTTGAGAAATTTTTCATTTTTTTTCTCCATCTCCTTGAGAGTTATAAGTCAATTTACCCTATTTCCTCGTGGATATGTTGTGGTAGTTTTCTAGAATTTGTCTATTTCATCTAGGCCCTTCAACTTCTTGACATGTAACTATATACCAGTCTCCACTCTACCTCTATAGAGTTAGAATAAACATGTCATTTTCACTTTTTTATTTTAGTAATTAAACTCTTTATCTTAATAAGAACTTGGTCGATTTTGTTGATTTTTTCAAAGAAGTGATTTTTATTTCACTTGCTTTCTGTAATTTGAGATCGGGTATTGTGATACCTCCAGCTGAGTTATTACACCTTAGGATTGCTTTGGCTATTCATGGTCTTTTATAAATTCTTGGATGCTTTTTTTCTAGATCTATAAGATGTGAGATCGGAGTTTTGATGGGACTTACATTAAATCTGTAGATTAATTTTGGTAGTATAGCCATTTTCACAATAGTAATTCTGCCAGTTCAGAGAATGGAAGGTCTTTCCATTGTCTAGTATGTTATTTGATTTCCCTTTCAATGTCTTGAAGGTTTTATTATAGAGACCATTGTCTTCTTTGATTAGGTGTATTCCTAGATACTTTTTGAGCTATTACAAATAAAATATTTTTCCCAATTGCTTTCTCTGAGAGTTCATTGTTGGCATATATATGGGCTATTACTTTTTACATTGACTTTGGATCTTGCAGCTTTCCTGTGTTTATTCAATCTAAGAGTTTTTTATAGATTCTACATAGAATATAGGTTTTATGTATAGAGTCATGCCATCTGCAGATAAGGATAGTTAGAATTTTTCCTTTCCTATTTTCATCCCTTTTCTGTCTTTCTCTTGTTTAATTGCTATAGTCAAGACTTTGAGCACTATATTGAATAAGAGAGGGGAGAGTGGGCATCCTTGTCTTGTTCCTAATTTTAGAGGAAATGCTCTTGGCTTCTCTGTTTAGTATAATGATGACTATAGGATATATATATGATTTCTTATTTTGAACTTTGCTCCATCTGTTTCTAGTGTTTCCAGGACTTCTATCAGGAAGGCATGTTGACCTTGTCAAATACCTTTTTGGCATTTATTGAGATGATTTTGTGGTTTCTATCCTTAAGTTGTCTATATGGTGTGTTACATTTATTGATCTACATATGTTGAAGCAACCTTGCCTTTCTGGGATGAAGTCTACTTAATCATAATGTTTGACCTTCTTAAATGTGCTCCTGAATTGGTTTGCAAGTATTTTGTTGAGATTTTTGCATCTATGTTCATCAGAGAAATTGATCTGTAGTTTTCTTTCTGTTGTGTTATGTCTACCTGGTTCTGGTACTGGGATTACACTGACTTCGTAGAATGATTTGATAGCGCTTTTTCACTTTCTATTTTGTGGAACAAGTTAAGAAGAACTGATATTAAATCTTCCTTGAAAATTTGATGGAATTCATCAGTGAATCCATCTGATCCTGGGCTCTTCTTTGAGCAGAGACTTTTAATTACAGTTTCTATACATTGCTTGTAATGAGTCTGCTAAAGTTATTTGTATCTTCTCACTTTAATTTTGGTAGGTCATATGCATTTATAAATTCATCTATTTCTTCTAGGTCTTCCAGGTTTTCAGAGTATAAGTTTTCAAAATATTCTCTAGTGGTGTTCTGGACTGCATTGGAGTCTGTTGTTGTTGGGAGCCTGAGGCTCAGCCATTTCTCAAAACTGCTGACAGACCTGAGTTGGTGACTTTCCATTCTGCCCACCATCCTCCCGCAGGCACAGGACAGAGCCCGCGGCCTTGTTCTCTTTTCCAGTAAATAGCCTTGTTCTCCGTTAATCAGTGGATTCCCCCCTTAGAGTACGTCAGGGCCCCTGTGTTCAGAGTGCATCAGGGCCCCTGTGTTCAGAGTACATCAGGGCCCCTGTGTTCAGAGTGCGTCAGGGCCCCTGTGTTCAGAGTGCATCAGGGCCCCTGTGTTCAGAGTGCGTCAGGGCCCCTGTGTTCAGAGCGCGTCAGGGCCCCTGTGTTCAGAGTGCATCAGGGCCCCTGTGTTCAGAGTGTGTCAGGGCCCCTGTGTTCAGAGTGCGTCAGGGCCCTGTGTTCTGACTGATATGATTCCTCACTCTTCACTTCTTTGTTCTCATTCTCTATTTAAACTCATGCTTGTGCTTCAATAAACGAGACTTGATCAGAGCCCTGTCTTGTCTCCATTTCTCTTGTCGCTTGCCTCATCCATGGCCCCACCCCCCAATCCAGGTACCCCGTTGCAGATCCCGCGGGACGGCACATGTTGTGATGATGCCCTTTTCATCTCTACTTTTGCTGATTTGGGTCTTCTCTTTCTTTTTGTCAGACTGGCTAAGGATTTGTCAATTTTATTAACATTTTCAAAGAGCCAACTCTTTGGCTTATTTTGTTTATCGTTCATTTTAGTCTCTAGTTCATTAATTTCTTCCATAATCTTTATTATTTCTTGATGTCTACTGATTTTAGAATTGGCTTCTTGTCTTTCAAGAGCCTTGAGGTGCGTCATGAGGTTGTTTGCAATCTCTCAGATTTTTTTTTTTTTAATTTGTGTGTCTGTGTGTGCCATGTGTGTGCAGGGGCCTGTGGAGACCAGAAGAGGGCATCAGATACCCCAGAGCTAGAGTTACAGGTGGCTGTGAGCTACCCCATGTGAGCTCTGGGAACCCAAATGGGGTCCTCTGGAAGAGCGGAAAGTGCTCTTAAGTCCTGAGCCATCGCTCAAGCCTCTCAGGATTTTTAAAATGAGTGTTTATAGTTACAGATTTTCTTCTCAGGACTGCCTGGGCTGTGTCCCAGAGGTTCTGGTAGGTTGTGTCCTCATTTTCATTTGACTCTAGAAATTTTTAAATTTCCTCTCTGATTTCTTGAATGACCCGCTGTTCATTCAAAAGTGTATTCTTCAGTCTCCTGCTCCAGTTTTCTGCTCTAATTTCATTAAATTGTCAATTCCATTTGATTTTCTCTCTCCTCTTCCTCTTCCTTCTCCTCCTTCCCAGAGGTTCTGGTAGGTTGTGTCCTCATTTTCATTTGACTCTAGAAATTTTTAAATTTCCTCTCTGATTTCTTGAATGACCCGCTGTTCATTCAAAAGTGTATTCTTCAGTCTCCTGCTCCAGTTTTCTGCTCTAATTTCATTAAATTGTCAATTCCATTTGATTTTCTCTCTCCTCTTCCTCTTCCTTCTCCTCCTTCACCATAAATTCTCAGGTTTCAACTCTTGAATATATTTCAGACTTCTTCAA